AGAGACTGTGGGGGGTGGGGTGTCAGTGGTGGGGGCAGGAAGGCTGAAGAGGGAAGTGGGGGCAGGGGGCAAGAGGGCTGCCTGACTCCCCCACTTCTCCCTGACAGCCACTGCTTTCCATGCTGTAGCAGTGGGAGGGGAATGGATTTAAGCCAACCCTCCAGTAATTCACTTCTATATCTGGAAAATTATAACAAATTTATCATTTGTCCATATATAGAGCCTACGTATTGGGGGGTCATCTTAAATTCAGGGTTGACTTAGATTTGAGTAAATACAGTATAAAGTTCATTGTACCTGAGCCACTGAACAGCAGAGAGTCAAAATGCCTTTTCAAGCCTGAGGGAACAAAATTTAAACCATTTGCCTAACTGATGCTTTCTGCAAAACTCTCTGTACTCTCCAGCTGTTGGTAAGCTCTTTAAGGAGGAACATATGCTATCCAACATATTAGTACAGCACTTCATATAAATAATTCCTTGTTCTGAGGCCTCTAAGTGGTACTATGGTAAAAATAATTAATTGCAATAATAATGATGTGAAGGGTTCTGTGTTCCATCAGCAATAACCAGTCATTCACAGATCATTATTAGTCATTTCTCATATTTTTTCCTGACCTTTGTCTAGGACTTAAGGTCATCACAATATAATGAATATAGTTGTTTCTTTCTGGTCTATATTTCAGACCATGCACTTCTCCTTACCCCTCCTCCCCCTGCCCCAATCCTTTGCATGGGGCATGGAGATTTTCAAAATTGTAACAATTTCAGATCAGGGTATTTTTGTTACCAAGCAAAATTTCATAAGTGTTCTTATGACACTGAAGTAGTTTAGCATAAAGAAACACAACAATAAAACTTTTCAGTTTTTGAAATTTTGATACTGAATATTCCATGAAGCAGGTCTGTGCAATATTAAATATTATAAACCTATTATTGTTATAATTAGCAGAAAATTGATATTCTGAATTCAATATAACAATAAATGTCTCGATAATTCAAAGACTTATGTACATAACTGTACACAGTGGGATTACTCATGGCATGTAAAATTAAATGTGTATGATTGTGAAGGATTAGGATTTAAAACAATACTTATCTGATCAAGCTAATTTTGATTTCATCAACCCAATTTTTGTGAGAATAATGCAATTTCTGAATCGTTTGACCTTTTAAATGTTTCAGCTGTTACAAGCCAGAGTTTAGCTGTTTCTTCCTTTAGTTATTTTAGCTTAACATAAATATTCATGTTCACATATTAGAATAAAATTAATTCTCTAAATAAAGAAGGGCTTTACCTTTCATGTGATTAACACTTTGGACCAAAGGGTAAAGTAAACTGATCACCCGCCCAGTGTGTCAGAACTAGAACTATGTAACAAAGCATATGTGAAAGTATGGATTTCTTTGTAACAATTTCTCACATTAGTTAACAGAGGGAGACCTCTGACCCCCTGGAAAGGAAAACAAGCAGAAAATTAGGACCTGACCTGTACAGTCTCTAAGAAGCTGGGAATGGGTGATAAGTTTTTTGTTCCTTTCCAAAGATAAAAATTTACTGTTCAAAAAATTACATTTACCTTGGGACAGTAGAAGATTCAACCAGAATGGAAAAAATATCTGGGAGACCAGGATGGTTTACAAAATACTGAAACATCTGTATGCCTTCATGCAAGCAGAAGCAGTAACTGTTTGCAGTATGCGCAGAAAATTCAAACTAGCGGTAGAGACAGATGGGCACCATATTAACAACACAAGGTTGTTGTTTTTTTTAAAGGAGTGAGCATGAGCTCATGAGAATTGAATCTCAATATTCTTGTCCTCAGTCTTTTCCTAACAGTTAAGCTCAGAAGTAGTGAGGAAAGCCTGTGTTTCTTCACAATAACATCCCTTGGTGAATTCCATCAATCCTGTATGCTTATTTTCCTCATTTTCTTTCATCTTCTCTCCTTGCATCTCCATCTTTTTCTCTACTTGCCATAATGATTAAAGAAAGCAGAAGGGCTTTTCTGAGACACCTCTATCTCCTACCAGCACCATTTCTACTTTCCCTCCATGTTGTTCTGGTTTGCATTCAAATTTGCAGAAGCTTTAAATTTGTGTTTCTGAAGAATAGATGACAGAAGAGATTAGCACAAGGCAGCAGGCCATGGAAAAGGGAGTTAGCAAAGATCAGCGACAAGAAAGATGTGGAGAAAAAGAACAAGTGACTAGCACTGAGTAACTTCTGAGTCAGATCCCCAGGGGGCATGAACAGGGGTGGAGATCACAAGAGCTCCCTGTTAATGTGCCACAGTTAGACGCCTGGCCTGCATTTGGGGCGCAGACTGTTTTGTGTTAAACTGGTCTGCCACTCACCTTCTTTATAACCACCACCACAACATCAATAATAATGATAGCACTAGCAACAGCACACCATATTTTCTCATATACAATACATTCCTTTTCCCCAAAAAACAGCCGCTGGAAATTGGAGTGCCCATTCTATGCAAGAAATACGGTAAGAGAAGGTTCTGCTGCCTACTGCATGAAACCAAAAGTAAAATCTGGAGTGATCCACAGGGAAGAGATCAATAAGCTCCCTTGCCTCCCTAGCTGCTCAGTTCCTTGCTCCAAGGACATTTTTTCCCCTTCATTTTGCCTTTTAAAAACAAGGTGCGTATTATATCCCAGGGTGTGCTCTATGTGAGAAAATATGGTATTTGAACATGTGCTTAATTATGGCAAAGCTGAGAGGAAAATATGGGAGAAACTGGAGGAAGATGAAGCTGCCGGGCATTTCCACGATTCAGGGAATAGTATGACAAAGGAGTTTTGAACCCTTTCTTTCAGCCCCCATTTACACATGCTGCAGCGCTATCCCAAATCCCTGCAGTGCTGAGTTCAGCCCTGCTTCTAATAACTTGCTCCTCAGAGCCTGGTTTACCAATAGTTGCTATGGCTATGCAAACATTCAAAAGAGAGTCTCTGTCCCAAAGTAAACCTAGTCATTTCCCCTGCTCTAAACCCAACTGGCTCCTGACCCCGGCCTGCTGAAGCAGTGTGAGAGGCCCTCCCCGCGGTGGGTGGGGTCCGGCTGCTGGCTCCAGCTGAGTTCTGTGCAGCTGGTTCTGGCTGCACAGCTGCTGACAGGACTCCTAGGAAGCAGCAGCAGCCACCTCTCACATATAACTATCCCGCTTCGCTGGCTTTTGCTTTAACTGCCTCTTGCAACTTTTTCTCCTGCCACTGCCTAGAAAACCTTTCTGCACTGCCCAGCCTTTCTGCAGAGCTGGAGAGACAGAGCCTGTGCACGAGTGTGTGTGGAGGTTTCCAATGCTTTCAGGATTTTAATTTTGCAGACTAGTCCTGAAGAGCAGCTAGGCTACTGCATGTTCTCTGTACCTGGATGGACTAACCCAACCTTTTCTTTGTGATTTCTGTTTTAATTTCTTTCCAGCCTCTCGTTTCCCCCCCACCAACTGATTGCTCCTTTCTGTATCAG